CCTTGCGTTGAATATTTCCTCTCCCAATCGTGGATGGAAAGTACGAACAGGGAATAGAAAGATTGAAAGGTTGTAAGATCTGAGTGTTTCCAGAAACCTGCCCCATTACTAGCGTGCGCCATGTGGACGAGTTCTCCTCCGCGCGACGTGTCTCTGAAGGTCAACCTGGGCATATTTACTTTCCTCATATTTATATCTTTTTATGGAGATCCTTCGCTCATTCCCACGCATCATTTAGCCCTTTTATGAATATTATCAGAACTAATAATCTGTTTTTGTTGCAAATGAGTCCACTGAAATGTTGGGTTTCATTTGCAGGAATGTCTGTCGATCGCTTATTCGATGTGAAGAACGCATTCTTCCTTGGGCATTACCAGCAGTGTATACTTGAAGCACAGGTACGATTCTGGCTCTGTTTGAGGATGGCTGTATTAGTCAGCTTTATTAGTTTCTTCATGTTCCACATTATTCCTCCCAGGCTGCTCTAAAAATTGAAAGTGTCCTACTTTGTGTCTTCACAGTTGTGGTGCTTTGTCACATAGTTTGAATCGTTAGTTTGAGGAGAAAAACCTTTTTTCAGAAGTTTGTCACCAAAGTCGAGGAGGAGAAGACAGCTAAGGACGTCTATATGTACCGGTCATATATTGCCCTAGGAAAGGCTTCCGTTGTTCTTGGTGAAATTTCCGAACGAACGAATAATCCGTCTTTGAAGGCTGTTCGTCGTCTGGCTGAATATCAGCACCCAATCGACAGGTTTCTTCTTTTTAGTTGCTTCTCTAGTTCTTTTTTCCATTTACTTTACATCTATGCCGTTAATTGGTCTCGATTTTTCTTCTTCTTGGGTTCATAAATCTAATACTTTACACAGCCATGTTAAGCTGCTAAATATGTCTATTTTTTAGAAAGCGCATCGCGAATCAGATACAAAGCGAAGTTTCTGATGGGACAGCAGCAACCGATGATGCTTCATGTATTGTGGCCGCTACCATTCTCAATAATGAAAACGTGAGTGGATTTTGATTGTACTTCAAAATTTCCGTCTTACTTTCTTAGCTTGTCCAGGCCATTTTAGTTTACCTTCTAATATCTTTGTTATTTAGAATCCAGAAGATGCTATGCGGATACTTGCGAAAAGCGACTCTTTGGAGGCTCGCTCCGCTACCGTCTTCACCTTGCTTCAAATGGACAGGGTTGATATGGCTGTGTTAGTTCCCGTTCTCATTTCCTTCAAAGGCTTCGCAGTACCGAGCAAAAACGAAACTTTGTTTCAGAAAGGAGTTGAAGAAAATGAATGAAATTGACGAGGATGCCACTTTAACTCAGCTGGCTCTTGCATGGGTCAACATGGCCGTGGTATGCTATTAAATATTTTATAATTTTTACTTTATTTTTTGGATCATCACGATTTTAAATTAATAGAAATAGTGCATGATGCATATGGCCATTTGGGAAATCTACGAAAGCAATGTTAAGAGTAGTGCTTCTGTGGTATTTCCAGCTTTTGTAAACTTCTGCTCGAATCCGAATGTCAGGATTTCATAGCTTCCACTTCAGGGTAAGGATAAGCTCAAGGATGCGTATTACATTTATCAAGAAATGATGGACAAGTACGGTCAAAGTCCTCGACTTCTTGTCTCTCAGTCAGCCGTTCTCATTCTACAAGGAAAATATAAAGATGCAGAAGCCTTGTTGCACGTGAGTTGCTTGAATTTACTCTATGATTTCTCGAGATACACTAGGGCTCACCGAGTTTCACTGAACATTTTTTTGTAGAAGTCCATTTTGTCAGGGGATGCTATGTGCGATATTTTGGGCGAGAACGGTTCAGCAAAGTTCTTTGTGGAGTTCAAAGTTTTGCGATATTGCTGTCCAGCAGACCTTTCTACTGTAAACGTCTTCCTCTACAGTCTCATAGCGCATCATCTTTGCTGAGGATGGTTGTCTGCCTCTTATTGCACATTTTCAGATACATTTCCCGATATTAAATAAAAACCTAGCCTTCATCTTTATTATGAGAAGCACGGCAGCGTAGAATCCATTCTGTTTCGCTAATGGCTCACTCTTACAATCTCAGCTACTGCTGCATTAGTCCTAAGGCAATCTTATTTCCATCAACACGATGTTATTCTTTCCTTCAGATCTTTCTTTTTAGCCGTGTTTAACCCTTGAAACACCCAAACAATTTTTTGGGCTCACTTCTACCTATGCAGGAATGACTGTTATTTAACACACCTTCTGAAAACCATTTCTTATTGTTTTCTTCATAAACGTTTTCCCATTTTCCTGAATCCACATTGCGCAAAGAATATTGTTTCCATTCAAGGATGCCCAGCTGCGCGACGCCAACAGCTGCGATGCTTTGGTGAATCTTGTAGCCGTCAATCAGTTTCTTGGAAGAGATTACGAGGTACGAGGTTTTTGGTTAAAAACGACTTACATACCATTCAGTTTTGCTGCTCTTCTATCTGGTCAAATGGAATAGCCTGGGATAAAACACGAGCCCTTGAAGTTCGTTTCTTCACTGAAGTTGGTTTAGGTCATGAAAAGAGCTATCGCACAGCTTAATGACATTGACCCAACACATCCATGGCTTGTTGATATGAAAGCAAAAGAAGAACTTTTTGATGAACTCGTAGCCGCATAAGTTTTTTTGAATATTTCACTACTACGATGCCTGTGATAACATATAATATTTATTCCCAATTTTCTTACAACGCATTGTACTCTTGTTTATTTGTATGATATCTTAAGTTATTTGTAGTGAGGATGATTGGTCTTGTTGCTTGGTGTTAATAAAATGTTTATTCTTAGTATTTTCATCTTGTTGGAATGCGGATTTATCCTGAGTAATAACGGTTGAACATCTGTAATGTTCTATATTTGGTCTTCTTTTACTGTTTGGTGCCATTTTTCTTATCATTTTCCATTCCTAAATAGGAACCATTGTACTGAGCACTCTCAGTTAGAAGCTGAATTGGGATTATTGGGGGTATTACTCATGGAAGGGAAAGAAAAATTTCCTGTATTCATTCATTTTTGGGTAGATATTTATACCAACAATGTGAAAGGAATGATGTATACCAACGATTTTTTTTGCCACTGGACTGTTTTCTGGGTTTCGATAGGCCAATATAACTTCTGTTCCAATGCTAGGTGACCCTACGTATCGAACTGATGCTGAACTGGGAATGGTTTCCAGTATTTGAGTCCTTTAGGTTTTTTCGTAACACGATTTTAAAGCGTCTTCGTGTTCTTAAACATCAAACATTTTTGAGTAGTTGAACATCAACTATGCTATCCCGTTTTTGCTCTGACCAAATGCTTATACGATTCTTTTGTATTAATAGAGTAAACCCATCTATTTAAGTAGTTTCCACCTCGATTCAGGGGGTGGGATGGGCCGCAGAAAAATCAGCAAACGGCCGTACACTCCCGATCAAACCGCAGAGGGAAATGTGGATAGCGATGTTGATGAAATCATCGATGTTGAAACCATCCAGTCGTCACAGGTAATGATTTATGAAGCAGTAAATCGTTCTTGGGAATTGCTCGATTGCTTAAAAGAAAAACATTCAACTTTCGTATTTATTGGTGTAAAGTGCACAACTTCCTTTCCTTTTCGGGTGGCGTTATATTAACTAGACATGGAGTAATCGAGAATGAAACGGAGGATTATAGGGAGGTTGTAAGATTGCCTCAAAATAAATGCCTCGACGAATACAGTCTGTAAAGAGAATAGCTAGTGATCATATAACTAATTTCATTGTTATGACTCTGTTTGGAATCGACCCTTGTCTCATTCACTAGGGGGTTATTTTTTCAGTAGTAAATCGAAGACCTCGCTGGTCAAGCGAAATTTTTTTTGGTCTATCGCTAAAAACGCTCTAGATTTCAGATTCTATCCTCTCATTTCGTTGGTCCAAAATCTTCAGTACTTTCGAACTCTCAAGGTAACTTATTGTTACACTACTTCTCTTTTTTCGTAGATAGAATGAGTTCTTGTTTGTAATTTTCGTTTTTCTGGGAGCAACAATTGTTACGTACTTTTCTGTAATATGAATGAATGCATGGATGCAGAGTCTTCTTTGCATCCTTCTCCTGAGAGTTCTTCGGTTGATATGTAAATAGAAATTCAGAAGAGATCGGAGCTTAGAAGAATTCTCATGGCATTGAAGTAATCAATTCAGAACAAACACACCTACGAAGATTACCGTCTCGTTCGACTAGAGCAGGTCTCAAACCCCCGCTAACGGTCCGAACTGCGCCTAGGATTACGTTGGTGGGCCGAGGTCAGTAATGCTCGCTGTTATGATTACTATTCATTTTTCATCTCGAGGTATAATGTCCCAAAACAGATAAAATCGTCATCAAAGGCGTATAAATTTTTTGTTTGTTTTGTATTTATAACGTCAGAGCCCCTTTTTTTCCCGGATTTATTATATTACTCATTGCGGGATTGAAATACATTCATTTCAGGAAGATCCGAGAGTATCTCCTCTCTTTCTTCCGCTGCAGTAAGGAATCCGAAAGATCAGAAGGAGACGGAATTTTGGGAAAATAGCGCTCCGGTACCATCAAAACGTGCTCCAGTACTTGCAGTGAGTGCTTTCGGACGATCTTTTTTCACTAAATAGTCTGCTAATTTTTCCCAATTCCGTATTAAGGATGAAGGTATTGGAACGCTTGTTGTCACCAAGTTACCACTTGAGGAAATGTCGATGTCCACAAAGGTCTGTATAATTCATAGAAGAAGGCTCATTTCGTTAATGAAATGCTCTTTAGACGCTTCGTGCGATTCAAGAGGATCATAGTTTATCTAAGTCTCGATCTCCAGAGGGTAACGAAGAGCCTTCATCACGACTAATGAAGATAGAGGAATCATCTTCAATAACTAGTACGTTCTGTTAGTTATTAGATGCTTCTTGAGCGACTTTCTTTCCTAATAAATGGTGCTACAGAAGAACTGAAGCCTGCTTCGTTAGCCACTAATACCGAGCCGTCAACCTCACATGGGGTCCAGAAGGCGCCTGCAGCGAGCAAGGTAGGCTCTCATTTTTCTTTCTTTGAGTTTTTTATTCTCAAATTCGTTCATCTTGAAAAATTCTAAAGATCCCGGTTCGATTTATCTTATAAAGCGATCAGCGAGGACCAAGTAGGAACTTTCCTGTTAAAAATTTGTGTAGCTTTCTAATGGTGTACTGCAAAAATATGGATATTTTGCTTGTCTCTTTCAGAAATTTCCCCCAGATACACTTGCGTGTGCTCATCAACATTGTCAGGCCACCTTCAGCCATGTAGACGACTTGATCTCCCATTTGGTCAATTTTCACTGCCAGCATCAATTCAGGCAACGAAAGTTAACGTTCGTCTCCCCCGAGAAATATGAAGTATGTTTCAAAGTGATATTTGTGAAGGCAAAAACTATCACTCTTTCTATCATTCAGCTGTGGAAAGCTTCACACCAAAAAGCTTTCGACACGACTATGGTGATGCACGGTGATCGCGAGGAAAACGACGGTAACTCAACTTTTTGTAGATTCGAGGCTGCAGAATGGCTCAGTGAGCCGCATGTTTCAGAAATCATTCGGATACATTATTATTGTGCTTACTGTAATGATTGGCGACAGCAGTTCGGAGAGACTCGACCCAGCAACGATTTGAATGAGAAGGCTGGAACTGGAGGACCGTCTTATTTCAACGATGGGAGATGTGTAAAGGCCATGGTCGGATGTCCGTCTTACTTTGTAGTATCCGTCTGTAAAGAGAATAAGTGAGACTTTACTTGATTGAAATTCAAGGTTTCCATGATGACCTTATTTCGTTTCTTTCTATTGTACAGGATCTTCGTTTAAGCTATGTCTCTGTGGTTGGTTGCTTTGCTCATCTCGGCCACGAGAAGAAGGTGTTACCAGCAGCTCGAGAACGGGTCTCACCAAATCAAGCACCTAGTTCGAGGACGGCTCCGGTAAGCGTGGGTCATAAAGATATTCAATTTGTGATTATCTAACAATTAATAGTTCTCAAAAATTATACAATTTTTTACGCTGATTTTTGGTCAGACTAGTCTAGCGACACTGAAGATTTCGAAGCTTTTATGAGAAGATGATCTTAATTCTCTCATGCGTAAAAACAGAGATATTTGCAAATGATGGGCTTTTATTATTCATCGTTATTTTATTCAGGCTCAATGTAAATATTGTAATAAATGGTTTCCTTCACAAGTGAGCATGAATCGCCATGTGAGAGAGGAACACACGGACCCTAATTATCCTAAGTATGTTCTTTGAAACTTTGTTCACGTTTACTGTTTTGAGTGTTCGATATCCTAAGATTTTTTGTCTGCAAAGCAACCAATCTCTTTGGCTTTCCTGCCTGTTTTTATCATTTGTTTCTTCCTGTGATTATATTTCTGTGCTACTTATTCATTTACCTTGAATGTCAGCAAATGGCTACCTCATTCATCATCTTAGGGAACTAATTTTTAGAGGTACAACCATAGAATGCGGTGATCCTCATTGTGACGTAGTCTGCGATCGCATGTCAACCTTGTGCGAGCACGTTGCTCAAGAGCATGGTCGTGGTGATTTGGTCATTGAGGAATTCAAGTTTCCGAGCCAGGAGAGATTCAAGGTAAAGTTATTTTCTTCTTGTATTTGAAAAGTATTATATAAGTATGAGCCTATACCCGTTTCAGGAGTGGAAAGATCAAGTTGAGGCGGAAACGATGTCTAAATATGTTTTGTCATCAAGTCGCACACGTCTCAGCGGAGTGGTTCAGTTGTAAGTTCTACCACTTTTTGTGTATTGCTCTTTTGATGCGAAATAAACAAACCTAAATTTGCCTTCATTTATTCCTTTAAGATCTTTATGGAGAAAATTTTGATATTCTTGTTGCTTCATTCATTGTGTGTTGCTCCGAAACGATGCAAGGTCGCTTTTTCTCGAAGTTCAGCTTTCGTTAGAACTTCCCGTAGTGAACTCAAACTTCGTCAAATAATCCCGTTTTGGAGACTCTTGAGACCCGCTATCAGTCGTTGGTTGCCTTGCGCATGTAGAGCCCCTTTCTAAATTTCTTCATAGGTTACTGTACTAAAAGAGTGTGATATATGCCTCGCTTCCTGCCTAAATCTGTATAAGATTAACTCGTGTTCTTTCACTTGTATTGAACGGCAGGCACTTATTTGCGTTCATCAGGATGCGCTTTTCTAGGTACTATTTGTGCCATTTGAGTGGTTACGCAAATCGATCACGTCACTCCGCTGTACAAGTAAGTCGCATGCGAACGACTAAGAAGCTGGGCCGTTACTGCACAGCCTTCATGAATGTTAAAGAGTTGTCTGATGGGTGAGTAGAGTTTTTATATGATTATTAAAGCCATATTCAGTCCGGTTTTACCTGATGTTTCCCTACTGTTTGATCCTGAGAGAACTGTTTTTCACCAACGGTAGAAATAGTGAGAATTTCAATGATTATTACGTGAATTTTCAGAAGTGTTGTAGTGCACTGCTGCCTTGGACATTTCGGTCACAATTTTGATGTAAGTAGACTACCTCTTCCGAACACCGTAAAGGAAGAAATATCCGAATTGCTGCTAAAGGGCATAGACTCTCAAACGGTTCACGATATGGTACGAAGTGAGTGCTTATTTTGTTTTGTCTTTATCTATTTTATTTACCTTATCTATCTGTGTTTTGAAAATCCTTTCTGTCAGAGCACTTTATAGAACAACGCAGGAGCATTTCAGAGAAATATACGTCATCTGATAGAGGTTATTATCTGAAGCGCTATGAAGTTCGAAACATCGCCGATAAACTCCGGAAACAAGGTTTAATCTTACCCAAAGAGAGAGAAACGGTAAGTTTTTGTAATCATATGTATTTAAGGGGAATTTCTCCGGGTCGAGCTTTCATGAGTAATAGTATCTAGACGCGCTAGGAAGGAAACTTTTTCAACTAGACCAACTTTTTTGTTGGGGTCATGTTGCGAAAACCAATGTTCTAGGTAGCTTCTCCTCTATCGACGTTGCACTCTGAAGAGACTTCTGGGAAGACGATTCAGCAGGTACGCTTCTATTTCAAAAGTTTGTTCTAATTGAGTTGACGTTCTAGTCTCATTATTCACTCCTCGACTGCTTTGGCAAAATGGTTTTTTATGTTCCTCGACTCGATGATGATCTATTTCAGGACAAGCAACCTCAGCAGAGTGTCAGATTCCAATCGGTTCGTTCCTTGTCAGAGTGAGTTCTTTGATTCCTTTTCTCTCACATTTACTTCCTTCCTTTAGCTCAGCACTTAGGGTAAAGTGTAAACTAGGCACTACATACAATTTTCACAATACTCCATCAGAGAAAAGCTCCATTGAGACGTGGAACAGAATGCTTTCGGACAACCTTTTGGAAGGAGTTTTAGTTGGGCAGCCCTCAGCCTCCTATTCGCTGTAAACATTGTTATTATGAATATAAAGGCCTTTTTTTGATAATTTGTCGAAACTCTTGAGGTTCTTGTTTTGTAGCCGAGGACGGTTTTCCCGTTTAACTAGCTTTCATGATTCAAAAGCGTCGACTTCCGTGCAAGATACACAATAGTGAGTACATTCTATCTGTTTCTCTTGCTTTTGTTTCGTGTCCTTATTTTCCTTTTTACGTGTATAGCATTTTCCCTTATTTTTCAGTAGCCACGTGCCAAGAAGTGAGGCTACGTCGAATTCTGTTATTGCTGGTATACGCGATGTGTCACCACCGGTTAGTACTTCCTACATTTCTTTCCTCTCATTTCTCCCAGTTTCATTATTACAGATCATAGGACCATGTCCATACATAGAATACAGGGGAGATGAATACGAAGAAATAGATGTGGTTAGTAATCATCAGTTATCATAGGGTCGGCTGTATACGTAGAAATGTTAGGGGAATTTTAGTTTTTTGCAGATAGTCGAAGACGACGTAGACTCTCTAACCTACTTTGTGGATGACGTACATGGTTCAGAGAATATGCTGAAAGTGGTCCACCCAGTCCGAGACGGTAAAAGGATTTTTCTCAATAATGTGCTGTACTTTGCATTTTATGCCTGTCCATGTTTTAGCTTTACTACTGAGTATTCATTTATCGTAAGTTTATGTAGGAGCGTGAATTGTTTCGATAGTTATCTTTTATAGAATCGTCGCTTCCAACTAAGATAGTGCCATTNCACAGCCTTCATGAATGTTAAAGAGTTGTCTGATGGGTAAGTAGAGTTTTCATAAGATTATTAGAGCCCATATTCAGTCCAGCTTTATCTGATGTTTTCCTACCGTTTGATCCCAAGAGAACTGTTTTTCACCAACGGTAGAAATAGTGAGAANTCGTAAGTTTATGTAGGAGCGTGGATTGTTTCGATAGTTATCTTTTATAGAATCGTCGCTTCCAACTAAGATAGTGCCATTGCTGATGGAGCCACAACCAACAGGCAATGCTGGTTTTGATGAAACTATGACTAACTTGAATAGGAGGATAAACGTAAGTCTTCCATGTATCATTGAGGCTCTCAATCTTAACTTTGCGATTATGAGTTTATTAAGGCTCTCCACGCTCAAATAAAACAGACTGTAGATCTGAACAAAAAGAAGCTCTTAATGGCACAAGTCCGAACTTTGCAAGGGCAACTTGTAAGAGGCGTACCACAAACGACTGCGTTTATGCAAGCAGTTGAACCCGAGTTCGATGGGGAGGAGGAAGGAGAGGAGGAGCGATTAGAAGGTGTGTCTTATGTTTTTTTTGTTACTTTGTACTATTAGCGTATCCCCATGAACCATGCAATCATTGTCATATAGAAATATAGCTGTCTTTTCATTCAAATCCCATTCTGGATACGGTACCTATCTAACTGTCATTTGAAGCTTCGCTGGTGTTTGAATTCATATTTGCCCTATACGTGCGAGCCCTCCAATGTGTACTCTGATATATTTCTTCCTAAATGGGAATGACCATTCGACCGATCCATAATGATTGGGACATTTGATTGATATGGAAGTTTTATCTGCAACTGGATCCCATCTTATATGTGATAGCGGCGTCTTTTGACCATTACCACCTCCGCCTCTATTTATCATTTGAAAAAGGTTGAATGTTTCAGCGATTGAGCACGACGATACGGTATGCCTTGAGGTGGAGGTGGAAAGCTCAGAAGCGCCGTACAGAGAGGTGCAAACGCAAAATGTTGAAGAGCAGTATGAGGAGGATCTGTCAGAAGTGACATTCGAAGGGGATCCATATGAGGAAGTTGTGTCAGGGGGTTATGAGCATTCAGCCGGAATATCATACCATTCATAAGAGTGTATATCTGTATTTATTGCGTTTTACAAAATAAAAATTATTTTTGTAAAAAATAGATTTTCACATGTTTCCCTTTTCATACCATAGGTTAGTTTTTTCCACTTTGGAGAGCATGGCTTGGTCTTGGGATTTCTCTATGGCGCTGGGATGAATTACGCAATTAGCCCAAATTTGCGAGGCGATTGAGCCCGTACATAATTTTTTGTTTCTAAGGATTTGGTGAGACAGCTGGGTTCATGGTCATGCTCAGGTTATTCCATATAAATGTAGCTCATCGCGGTTTGGATGGTCTCTTTTGCTTGGGGCCAGGTTCTGTCTTAGGTGCTTACATTTTTTAAAAAATTTATTTAAACAAATAACAAGTCATTTACAGAATATTTACATAAATCGGTACCCGTATACAAAATAAAACACACACCAACGAAAGTTTTGTATGGGAGCGATGACACATTAGGGGCATTTGTTGGATATCTAGAAAAACTCTGACACTCAACAGCGCTTCCCAGTAGTCGTTAGGGATAGCGTAACCTATGTGGGCTATCCGAGAGGACGAATCGCAGATTCGGTGGGTATCGCCTACTGGTCCCCTTTGTAGACAGTAAAACTTTTGATGGAAATCCGATGCGGTGGAATGGAACACGTACTGCTGCCACTGTCTGAGTTATCACACTCGGCTGGTGCCACCGTGCTGAAATAGAATTCACTTTAGACTTTCCTATGAAACCAGGATCTAAAATGGGTTGATTTGAAACAAATACTATTCATATTCTACGGGTCGTTCTATGTATAGCTTTTTCATACAGTATCTCTATTGCTCAGTACTGCGCCAGAACCTTTATTACTCAGCTAACATTTCAGCTTAAAAACGGCCACCCGTTTAAACAGGGTCTTATCGTGGGTCTTATCCTGTTTCGTAAATTATGTGCAAAAATTTTTACCTGAAGCCAAACTTCCGTCGTAGAGAGGTGAACATTGACAGGAACACTGGGAGAACGATTAGTCCATGAATAAGGCCAAATATTGACACCAAGGCTACAGTCTGTAAATATTTGTTCAGTTTTTTTTTTCAAATATTACGAAATCATCTCTTCGTAAAAATCTTCAAGAAAGCACTGGCTAGAAATTAGTGTCGACGCTATCCTCATCGGATGACCGACCAGATTTCGGGGTCCAATGCGGTGTAGTGCAGACTATCACCGATTTTTTCTGATTTTTTTTGGCATGATTTTTAGCCAAGTATACACACCTTATTATGCAGGTACACATTTTCTGTATTGAAAATGAAAATTTCAAATAGAAGGTTACTTCTGGGACGTACCTTAAGAAACACCATTCCTAGGTAACTCGGTTTAATTAAGACTGGAAGCATTGCGAAGAGTGTACTTAGTCCACCTTGCATTGTTGGCCATCCAATGTTCAAAAATGCATCTTCCAGTTTTTCGACAGGTGTCTGTAATTATTGATTGGTTTCGAGAAGTTACGGTAAGTTGAATGGCCACAGTAACAATTACGGTAGTAATTGGTAGTAACAATGCTTCAATAAGACGTACCGGCGCTTTTACTAGGTAGTAATGGTAGCTGATATGAGCCGATATGTCGACACTGAATCCGATTGACATCAGTAGAGACGCCATGGATATGGGATCAATACCGACACCCCACAGAACGAGGAATCCGAAGACCTGGAAGCATCTACCAATAAGATTTAGTAGAAATGGAAATTCACGTAAAATTACGGATATTGACGTATTAGTATGGTGATCTGGGAGTCGCGGCCGGCGGTCATGCGGTGAGACAACTAGCCAAGAACCTTCTCTCTCTGTAGACGAATCAGAAGTCTTTCAACACCACCCAGACCAGTACCTGTTTACGATGTGGGTTACATTCTGCGCTAGTGCGACCTTCTACGGGATCAGTTTTACATTTCTCTGTCTGTTTGTCATCACTTTACTGAATTGATACGCTGTTTACAGTCGCGAAGACAGTCTGACTTATTACCTTCGTAGGGCTACCATCTACAGTTCTGGGCCGTACGACCCAGAGTCGTCCCGAATCTGAACGTCTACTTACCCCGAGATTGACGCTCAACAGGCTGAACATAGCAGCAGCGATTGAGACGATGTCCGGGATGAAAACGATGAAAGAAATACCCATACAGATCACTTCTGAATAAAGTGTCTGCCAAATGACGTCACCGAGGGCATCGGTCTGAAAGAACGGTTAGATTATTGTGATTTTTCCCATTCAATTGTTTCTGCTGCTCTGGAGTTGGAGTAATTCAGTATTTTATTTGATGTTTAGTAAAGTCACCTGATCAGCATAGGTGCTCCTCTCGGAATACGCATATACTCCCAGATCGGGATGTTTACTGCTGATTGCACGCCATTCTTGGATGAGTGGGAACATTTCTTTATAGCTGGAAAAAAGTGAAGTGATCCATTATCAACTGAGCTCATTTTATTTGGGATGCGCCATGCACTCGACCAGTCCGCCCGAATCAAATAAGTTGTGTGAGACAAGTGTACTTGGCTCTTGAAAGGAGTACAAGTGTTAGAAGGGTCCTAGCACGTCTTCATAGTCTTAGACAATTTTGTTTGGGGGAAACGCCCCGTAGTGGTGTTGGTTGATTAACCGTAATTTGAGATTTAATTAGCAGAATAGAGACAGCCCTTGGGCTTTTGCTAGATAGGAGAAAAGAAAGGGAAACGACGGAAGTGGTCCCACTTCTTACCTTGACAGCGTCGTGAATCCTGTAGTAAAGAGGAAGGACGGTAGACATGACGGTTCATTCAGTTTGCATGCCGTCTCGTTGGTTCGCATAGTCCCTTTCCAGAAGGTATCCGATTCGAGGAAGTCCGGTATATGGGTGTAAGTGAAGACTACTTCCTTAAACAATTGCTGTAATAACTTGGGTGAGAATAGATGTTTCATAGAAGTTTTAGACATTTTTCTCAAATGAAGGAAGCGATTTTTTTTGGTCATCCAACCCACATAGATTATAAACCATGAAAGATTAATTTATCCGACTTTAAAGTCAAATTGAAATGATAATGAAAGTCCTTCGCTGACCTGATCTTCCTCCTCAACTTCGCGGAACGTTAGGAAGTCCATGTAAGGTCCGAGGAAGCAGAAGGTGGATTCCTTACCGTAGCTGGAATTAAGGATCACACTCCGTAACATAATTTACTCTATATGTTTTGAAATGTCATTTCCCATGTATGTTCCCAGAATGGAATTTACCCATGGGAAGGGCAAGCATTACTGCAGTTCTAATGTGGAAACTACAATAAGCAGGAAAGGCTCTCAGATTTATCTTTTTTATCTCGTCTACACCCACCCATCGAAAAAAATCCGTTTCTTTTTTGTTTTGAGTGCCAGGAGTTCGTACCCATCAAGTACCGTAATCCTCGAAAAAAGCTATACCTGTAGCTCGCGGCTTCGTAGTCCCGAATCATAGTGGCCACATCAGCGAACCTTTTAGGATCTCGTAAATCGCCAGGTGTTGTTACAACGATCGCAACGGTTTGCATGCCCTAAACAATTGAATTTTGGAAGGAAGGAGCATTTTAAAATAAACATATCATATATAGTAAAGTGGGCGGCGTTAAGACGTACCCTTATGATGTCGTCATAGCGCGTTTTGAACTGAACAATGCGCGCATCTGGTGGTGCAAGTTTTTGCACAGAAAGATCCGTCTGGACGATTGAAATACCGTAATACGTGAATGCCCAGTAGACGATGAGAACCTGTAAGTAAACATCTAGAGGAACTGATTAGAGCTAATGGACAGAAAAAAGGGAATGTCTTCAGTTTCAGTAAACCACTTTCTTGGGGTGCGCACCGCATTCAACTTACAGTCGGAATTGTAGTGCGGTTTTAAAGGCACCGTTCACGATAAAAAAGGTTATTGAGTTCTTACCTTATTAATACTCAGCGGCTCCCATGGGTTGTAGAAGGGACCCTCTCACTCCCCCAATCTCGACGTCCAGGGCATAGTGGCAGCCCCGTTGTTGCCGTAGTTCGCGTTCCCGCCCCTCGGTCGATGAGAAGAATAGTAGCAGTTCAGCAGAATAATAGCAGGGAGAAATCCGATCAGGTGTTTGGGTGTGTTGTCTGCAATTGCAGACATTGCGTCGCCTTCGTGCACTCGCCCGAACACTCCCTAACCGCCGCTCTTTCAATGTGAAACTCGTCCAACCCCCTTTCCAGCTCTTTTTTGACCCTTAGTATTTCTTGTTGCTCATCGTTTTTGCGCTTTTTTCGTTGTTATGGCTTTATTCTAGAGTAGTTCTATCAATTCCCGTCAAAAAGGGTACCCTAAATTTATCGTGAACGGTGCCTTTAAATGAGTATGTGGCGTATACAACTTGTGGTGATCAGCCGATAATCAAGCCAATGCTTTTACAAATAAGCAAATAACAGCGCAATAACGAATACGTAAATAAGTAGATTAATAAACAGTATAAGTTTCATGCTATGTACCATTATGGTGAGAGCTTGCATCCATGGTTTAACGACCAGACGGGCGAGACCTTTCCAAGCACGATCATGGAATTTTCCAGCATCTTTGATACACGGTAATTCCTCAGGCAAGCAACCACTCCTGAAAACATTTGGCTGGTTACGGTACAGCTGATAATGTCTCCTATTTTTTATATTACCTTCAATATTCTATATTTTATGCACAATGATAAATTTTAATGGAAAACACTGAAATTATTGCTTCTCGTTCCATATGTTTCGGTGGGACGATCCGAAGAAATGGAAGATTTTTTAAGTTGAGTAGTGGAGAGCAGGCGCAACACGATTTCGAGGTTGTTAGGAATAGAGGATCACCCACTTTTCCACTCATCCATTCCCTGGTCTTTANCCCCCCCCCCCCCCCCCTGGAACTCTTTAATTATTTATTTACTTATATAGTTAGTCTCACCACGAAGAGTATCCAAAGAATTTAAGGTAAAAGGATGTTATTTTGTTAGGAAAGGTTGACTTCTAATACCCAGCTTAATGGCTCCTATCACTCTGTCAGCGAGCAACGTATTGGATTGACGGTCGAAGAGGTAGAGGAGAACGACGAGAAAATTGTTGAAAAGTTTTATGTTTTTCGGAAACATTTATTCGTAAGTAAGAAAGGCTTCCAGGGAGTAAGCCACCCAGAGAGCACTGGGCCATAGAGAAGTCTCACGTAGCCTCACCACCCCAGAAACTAATTCGACCGCAGCTTTTTCAATTGTACTTACTTTGAGTCGCTATCGATGGTTTTGTACTCCTTGTGAGCAGTGAGTGTGAGAATCGCTGGGAAAAGTATCAGCTGATAAAAATAGCAGATGACACTGGCAGCAACTGAGTAGATGGCGAAGGTCTGAAAGAAGGAAGCCCTGGGGAATATGGATAAGTCAGAAAAAGGTTTTCATTGTGGCTGACTGGAAGCGGAAGCGAACCTGAAGAGCGGGCGTGCTGGACAGAACACCATTTCCGAACGAGATCACGTTTGTGATCGAAGTGACAGTCATTGATGATCCGGAAACCTACAATACTGTAACACTGAGTACGTATTTGTGTTGGTAAGAGCGGAAAGGGGATACGTGGGTATCAGGATGCCTCTCAAGGAAAAGCAATACGAACCTGAACCATCTCAGCAGTCCGCTTAGGTACGTCCATACTTTTTTCGGTTCGATGCCATGCAGCCAACATGATGAAGACGTCATCGATACCTAGAACAAGCAAGTTTTCTTGGGCGAAATCACCCTGGTATTGCAGTTGTTGGATTATCGGTAGGGCAGTGGGTACAGTGGTAAGGCAGGTAATGGTAGGAATCAAATTTTTTCCAAGACATCCCTAAACCTCTTACCTATTGCTAGGACTAGGAACAACGTGCTGACGACGATAGATTGAAATGCAAGTCCAGTGGCAGAAACTAAGCCGACAGTAGTGATTCCTGCCAACAACGGTGTAACTCCACCGAGTATCGCTTCGAGCGGTTTTGATTCTCGTCTTTTGTACCTGAATTTAACACTTACTTCTTAGCAGTGGTGAATTTTTCTGAGGGAAATCTTAAAGTAAAAGGATGATCTGAGAGTAAATGTATCTGAGCACTGGTATCTGGTGACGAGTGAATAGAGACATGGCGCTGGCTTCTTTCATAGTCCGCAATCTGCCCGCGAGCTAGCGAGCGGCCGGGGCGGGGCTTGCCCCTCGTTTACAACTGGATCTTGGTCGATCCGCCGGCCGAGTAGTCCCCCGGTCGTTCGCTGGCTCGATTGCTCGCGGGCCGAATCGTGGACTATGAAAGCAGCCGCTGGGGAAGTCGGTGGCATTCTCCAGCGGAACCTCCCAAATGTTAGCTTCTGAGACTTGCGGTGGGAGATTTACGTTGAGCCTTTCATAACTTTTCTCTTAGAAATTGCCTTGGTTATCTTCTATGGGAATGAGGAGTCAATGGTAAGGGCCAGAAAACCCAATTGTCTGTGCCAGATATCTCCTTGTTATGCTCTGAACCTTTTTTGGACAAAAACCTGCTCGTAGCTTATGGCGCAGTACGATATGCGATACCCTTTGCTGAGATGGCTCTCCCGTTTGACACAAAGCTATTTTATGAGGGACTCGAGGCTGTGGAAAAAACAAAGAATTACTTACGTTTTCAATTTGTGTACACAATTTTCCAAAACTTGCTTAATTTTAAAAGGTTGAAATCAAATTCATTTGTTAACAAACCTGAATGAGCACAACATCAAGAAGATCATAAGCATTCCTAGAGAAATGCTAAGTAAAGGGGCGCTCTTGTTTCCCATCTCTTTGACCTAAACGAAGAAAATTTAGGCTGAGTACACCCCTTTGTCAAAGTCAAATTCAATGGCTTCTAATTGTAAGAAGCCCGTAATGAATGAATCTCCTCACAAACCTCTTTTGCTACGAGGTTATCTGAACCGGCGCTGCAGTTCAGTAAATCATACTTGCCGGAGTCATACAGAAGACTGACTATCTGAAAATCATTAATTACTCAAAATTTTCATCTCAGGGAAAAAGTCGAATATAAAAAGATATAGTACTATTCAAGAAAACGACTATTTTAAAAGATAAAGTTCAAGAAAAGGGTTTTGTTTCTTCTTCTCGTTTCCAGTTTCATTTTCGGGCGAGAGAAGCTCTATTAAGCTCCAATTTTATTCCCAAGCGCCCAGGAATTAGATGACATCTAACTGATGGGGGCGAATCATTTGGCATCAAAATATTACTTGTGACTTCAACTGCTCTATAATATTTTTTACCTGCACGTATATTATAAAAGAAGCATGAAAATTGCTTTTGCAGTTCATTTATAGTGAATAGCGGTTTTTCATGAAATTGATCTTTCCTCCTTGACATTAAGATCACTTCCCTTGGAGCGCGCCATGCATTCGATTTTTCTTAGAACTCATAAATTGACTTGAATGTTCTGCTGATTATTTTTTTTGGAGGAGTAGGTGACTTTACGGTTATTGCTAGATTCAAGGAAGAATTTATAGCTGATGCACAGCTCTTTTTACTGCCTTCCTCCCTTGACCTTATTTACAGTATAAGTAGACAATAAAATGGGCAACAAAATCTAATGACAAAGCTGTGGCCGTAATAAAGGCAGAACTTATCAAATAAATAAACAAACAAGAGAGCAAAATGTTATAGCATCATGAATAGAAAATTACCCTACCTTTGTTTCCCAAGCGAGTAGGGGCTTAATTTCGGGATATACCATGTAGTAGCGAAGGATAACGGTGGTGAATGATTCGATGGTATTGGTGTCGTTAGCAAGACTGACACCATAAATATTACTAGCGATAAAGATTTGTTTTCCAAGAATGTCCATAGTAGGATATGTGACCTGAAAAATTCACAGAACTCTCTACCAGCACAAAAATTCGTCAGAGATACGGAGAGAATCAGTTTAGAGGGGTTTTTCTGCCAAAGATTCGCTACGATTTTGATCTAACCTCAACTCTGGAAAAGTTCTTGTTGTACAGCTCCAAAAGAGCTATGAATGCGTCATTCTTCTGGCAATACGGTTCACACATGTCGCGATACGTCAGTTGATGTCCTGTGGAATTCTGGAAATTTCGAATTGAAAAAACCATTTACTTCCTTCTGTCATATATAGTAGATACGAACCTTCACAGTAATCTCGGTGTTAATTTCGTGGATCAGATCCCATATCTGATGCCTGTACTCCTCTCGTAACAGACTGCCATTATCTTTAGACTCAATCATTATCTGAATGAAAAGATTTCTTGAGAATGGGACCTAAAAAATTTGGAGAAATTAGGCTCACAACAAGGCTTGAGAAATGAATTTATCTTCAAAGCAGATAAAAAATGCATTCAAATCCAAGCTAAAATTATCTAATTTAGCAAATTAAATGGAATTTTGATAATTTCGAAATTCAAGTAAATCTTAATGTTATCCACATGCCTCTTCCACGTTACTTTTCTTTGCTTTTTTTGTTAAGATTTTTTTAAAATTTGTTATTTTTCTATTATACTTTTTTCCGGCCTAGAGAACAGATGTATCATTTTTTACGTTTTTATTATTATTATTTAACTTCATATTAGTCATGCATTCCGTTATGTTAGGAACACTCGTGGTGTTACCGTACCCTAGAATTAATCCATTTTGAAAATGTGAAATGCTCATTATTTTGTAATACATGTGTAATATGCGGCATGTGGTCAGCTCCTCTCCGAATTTGTCCGTAGAGTCCTTTATTATATTTGATATATTAAGAAAAATATGATGACGGGAAGGGTTCCATTACTTAGTTTCGAAATAGTAAATAAATAAATAAATAAATAAACAATAAATTGCCATACCTCGACCATGTTCAAAGTTCCATTTTGCTGTAGAAAGGACTGCAGTACTCGAGCCTCAACATGACTAGCAGACTCGGAATCGGTATATGTAATCCTTGCGTTATTTATCTAAACAAATCCGAATATGTATTTACTTACTTCAAGCATAGTAGTAACTAATAAAATTCATTTGTATTTTTTGTTTCACCTGAGTTAAGCAGGCATAACAAAATTTATTCCAGTAGTAATATTTGATGATAATTAATGATGATACCTTATATAACCATTTTTTACATACCTTATATATCCATTTTTTAATTGTCGGTGGTGCTAAGGGCGCATTGGTAAACTGTTTCATTGTTTTTACTAGTGTTATCATAGAATAGAATAATGTGGGGGGGNGGGGGGGGGGACAGCAGCTTTTCCTCCTCCAGCACAAGCCGGTAGCTCGATGGACTTAGGGGATATAAGGGTATAAGGATATAAGTACATCCAGTACAAGCGGTGGAGAAGACGAGAAGCCTACTGGTATGTTGCTAACTACACACAGTCGTTAACACGTGCGAGTAACTTTTTGCTACCTGGTATTATTTGATTCTATGGTATCAGTAAGTAAAAGTTGTATCGAAAGGAATTCGTCAACATTTCGTTTGCTTCAGTGTCCCTAATATGACAATCACCTTTCTGCCCATATTTCCCTTTTGTCACTCAAATGAATGCTATTTAAATATTGAAAATAAATAGAATAATATTTATCAAACCTGATGGAATCTAATAAATCCTATAGAACAAACGGCTGTGAACAGCAACAAGCCGAGTATGTACCTCCATGGATGGTATCCAATCGATAGACCGAGTTTGTAGAAGACTCGCTAAAATGGCAAGAGAATTTTTCGGCAGCTACATTCCATAGTGAATTTTGTTATAATGTAAACAATTCAAATCAAAGTCCCTCAGTTGACTTTACGGGCTTCGTGCTAACTGCGGTTATCTGGATTCCGTCAGGATAGGAACGTACGGGAAGTGATTATAGCCAGGTGGACAAAAGACAAAAGACAACCCAGCTTGCGCTCAACGTGGGACTAGCCTGTTACTTCGATACCATTACAGTTCTAGCCGTTCATAGGTCTCTACAGGCCGTCATATGGTGCGGGGTGAGGGGGAAGGTAGACCGAGGGGAAGTGAGTATGAAGGGGACTCGTTGACTTTCACATTTTTGCGCTGTCGAAGAACTGATGTCTTCATGATCTGAGACTTCCGTCCAAACAAGATGTACCTTCAACTTTGAGGGTTTCAGAGAAGCGATCGAAATGGTGCTTTTTTATGTGCCTCGGGTCGAAGATTGGTTTAGCCTTGACAAAGCACGTTTATAATCTCCAAACATTTTCATCTTATCAACTAATGAAATGTAATCGTTTGCGTTGACTTAACCATTACCTAATGTGTAACTACAGTAAACTTCGCTAGTTATTCCTGCAATAGATATCGAAAAAAAGCAGCCAAAATCCCTTGATTTCAAGTGAGGCTCGCCCAAAACCAGATAAAATCTTCTCCCGGAATTGAGGTTTCCAAAGTGTGCTGTTTCCCATCTAACACACAGCCAAAGGGGTCACCTATGTTAACTGCCGTTTGGGAGAAGCCCCTTCCGAAAAAAACTAGATTGTGGTCGTTTTAGGCGTAGTCGGTTGGTTCAAATAGTTTGTTAAGGTGAACATGCGGATGCGAACCGGGTAATCATCAGACTAATGGATAAACACGGTACAATTAACACTTAGGTGCAAGTTCCGGTCCCGTACGAAGCGAAATGTTCCGCCATCATTTCTGCGGTGTTGAGATGATTTTACCATCGTGGACAGCCACGAGAAGCCTGCACATCAAATACTAAAAAAGGAAAAAATTGAAGTAGATAAATTTTTTTGTCCTACCTTCATGAAGTCTTCAATTTTTTGCGAAGAGCATTTCATTGTCACCAGTGCTGGAGCTGAAAAAAGGCGTTCAAGGTTTGCTTTGGGGAGGCGCTAATGCTTATAAAGCGACAGCCTGTTGCGTAGGCATGAGTATTCCGAGATTAGATCGAGCAGAATCAAATTGACTGATAAAAGTGGTGAAAGTAAAGGTGAAGTAGTCAAATTCCTAAAGATGCGCCATGTATTCTACCAGCAATCGCGGCTATGGAGGCGTTTGATTTAATGCGTAAATCACACAGTGTTGGCGACGGTGACTAGTTCGAGACAGAGCTCAGTCTAGAAAAAAGAAGAGCTAGAAAAAAGTAATTTATGAAATTCTTGAACTTTATTTGGGTTACTTTTCGGGAGAACTACGATAACTTAGTTGAATAGTAACGGTAGTGCAACATCAGAACGAATTGGCCTTACCGCGAAGTAACCTTAGTGAATTCCAGTAGTGTCGATTAGAGCGATTGATTACTATAATACCTGAGGAACTTATTGAATTCGATGATGACGATGAAGTTCCTTCATTGAAATGAATGAAATGAAAAATGAAATGGAACTCATTTTAGCCAAACTGGACCTAAAGTCACATCTCTAAGTCTCTATTCAGCATTAGATAACAAAGGTGATGGATTAAATATTTGGGGTTGATAGAGCCCGTTTTTGTGATGTGCCGCGCCTTTGATGTCCATTCGGAATCGGCGACAGGATCCATAGGATCCTTCGTACTATATGAATTAGCCGAGGGAATTTTAACCGAGATTCGAGCAATGTAATATATTTATATAATAAATATTGTAAATTAAGTAATTTAAAATGGAATCATATTGAATTTTTGTCGACATCTAGCTAGCAACGAATTGAGCCATCTACTTCATTTCCTTCATGACCTGAGGAGTTAGATATGCTGAGTGGAGTAGCTCACTCTCATAAAGATATAAAGAGGAAACGAAAGCTGAGAATTATGCGTAAGTCTTCCTCAGTGATTGTCAGCATGAACTGTGAACTTGAACGCCCTATTACATCGTTAACCAGTCTGACCTTATGACATTGAGAGAAATAAAGGCGGCTACAAGGCCGTCACGAAACCTTCATTGAAAACGAGATAGCGATGTGATGACAAGAATGATATACGAAACGGAACCACTATAGACTTATAGAGTTCATTCATATTTAAGCTATATAGGCCAGAAAAAATTTGAAAAAAAGAAAGTTGATTTTTAGGATGATGGCAATGGAAAAAAGGAAAAATTTGTTTCAGGTTGCTCATCAATTTTTTTTGCGATGTTACACTGTTGATTACGATTTTTTGGGCAAGTAATCGTGTGTGGTGAAATGGCAAGTGGCGCACTACCACATACGCATCATCGGAGATCGAGTTCTTGGTCGAGACTTGCACTCACCAGCCAAGCCTTGCATTTCTCCGGGACAGATTATCGGTAGGGGACTCATGTGGGAGGATAAAAGCACCAGCTATGCAATGGCTGGCTACTGCAAACCATTGTATAGGCCACGTACGCCTTCAAACCATACGATGATTCTGAATGGAAATAAAATGCGGGGCGCACTCAAAGTAAGGATTTTATCCTTGCAAGACTTTTTGAATTGGTTTCCCTGATTTTTGAGGTTCATGAAAAAGGTGAATTTTGAATGTCTCAGTAGAGCCAGCCACCAGCCAAAGAAGGCGATAGTTTTTTGTTAGGAGACTTGAGTACAAAATTTAGAGAACTATTTATTTTTGTTTTTTCTATCAGGAATGTGATCACAAAAAAATGGGCTCTCATAGAGGTGGGTCACAATGGAGGCCATACGTTGAGTGCTGTGTTGACTCAAAGTTCTCAACCTACAAGTTCTTTGAAAGGGTTGTCAAAGTGCAGCTACATAATCGTCTTATACCGAAATCGAAAAGACAGACAGTCATGCAGTCAGCTGTACTAGTAGGAAACCCATTGTTAAAGGTCATATCTCATTTAGACGCGCAGAATTAAGTGACATTTCTCCGAATTGAACTGTCTGAGGTTCGATCGGACCATGAAAACCTATACGTCGCTGTGAATCAGCGTAAGTACCTAATACTCGGGGCACACTTGAACTATACGGACTGAGGTTGTCCTGAGCTGTGATTGGGAAGGTGCTGGGTAAAACTCTGTGATCACAAGAAGTCTTTGCATGAATAGTCAGCAACTGATCCATTTACTAATGAATGTCTTTGTATGTTTGTAACAACTTAGTTAGCTTTGAGTGGATCAGGATTTTTGATTTCTCTCAAAGGGTTATGATAGTCTTCAAATGGAAACTTTGGATAGGCTTACCATTTTCGTTTGTTCCGAATTGCAAGAAAAACAAATGAAGCCTAAATCAGACAAATCAAGTGAAGCGATTTAACATGGATTTCTTCATTAGATTTTCTTTGAACAGTATTTCAGGATGAAAATGCTAAAGAAGCTCGTCGCGTCGCATCGGTCAAATACAAAGGACACATACACGGCGTTTATTAAAAATAGCGGGCAAATTGACCTTGGATAAGCGGCCTACCAAGCGGCTCAACTGGCCAGGTGAGTTCAAGCCCATTTTTTAAAAATTTCTGTGCATGTTTTCGGCTCTCCGAGAGCAGAGGGGTCGTCGTCTGACACGAATGGGCTCGGTAACACATTTCTCATAAATGGAGAGAATATCGTGCTGCCTAATAATCCGTTTAAAAAAAGTCGCGAAAATGAAGTGTATAGTGTCCAGTCGCGTTTTATCACGCGTAAGATACCGGGATCCTATCCCGGAAAGGGAATGCCCCATTATGATTTCTAATGAAGGTCGAATGTGGGGCTTATACCGAAACGAAACTGATCAACGCCGAATGACCTTATCCTTTACCTTGACGCTAAAATGACTCAATGAACATTTTGATGGAAAAAGAGAAAGAGATCTCGAGAGACCAGTTACTGTTGATAAGTATTATTGTGGAGGCTTGGCCCAGCCTGATTTCCAGTCAGGGTAGTAGTGATAATCGAATGCTGTCTACATACCTATGCTTTGACTGACGGACACCACTCCACACGTGAAGCGGTGTTGCATTCTCCCAAATAGCTAGGGAGCCATTCGACCCATATCAGGAGTTTGAGGTTCGGTTTTGCCTCGGGAAGTCTGATACGGGATTGAAACTTTAGACCATTCGTTAATATCGACCTCAGCGGCTTCGACCTCACCCTTGCTCCGGATTTTTGTTTTTTTTTTTTCGTCCCAATGTTAGGAAGGGAAAGGAAAATAAAAAAGG